TAAACCATAGCTGAGGAACTCCCAACAACTCTCAACAATGAAAACATTTCTCTGTGAGCTAAAATCCTGTAAGACCCTTTAATACAGTTCCTCATGCTGTGGTGACCCCCAACCATAAAGTTATTTAATTGCCACTTCGTAACTGTAGCTTTGCTCCTGTTATGAATCATAACGTAATCATCTGTGTTTTCCAATGGTCTTAGGCAACTCCTATGAAAGGGCTGGCTCATCTCCCAGGGGTCGAGACCCACAGGTTGAGGCCACTGCTCTAAAGCAAAGTAGATCTAGGCAGTGGTCCCCTGAAAAGCTTCTTAGGTCTGGAATAACGGCTGCACTTAAACCTCAAACATTACAAATGCAAAGGTATTTTTTAATGTTTATTTTACTTATGTGTGTACATGCTTGCTTCAGTTGGGGATGCCCCAAACCCAAAGGCCAGAAGGAGGTGTCTGATTCCTGGAAGCTGGCATTCGCACAAGGTTGTAAGCCACCGGCCACTAGTGCTAAGAACCAAAGCCAGGTCCTCCACAAGAGCAGCAAGAGTTCTTAACCACTGAACCATCCTACACCCCCCCCAACACTAACTTAGTAATTCTAAGGGGCTACACCACCACACACTACCCTTTTCTGCTTCCTTTCTCAGTGGAATCCTTTCTTCCCATAGGCAGACAGTAAGCACTGGTGGAAAAGCCGGCTATAACACAGAATCTCTGACTACGCAACACAGGATCTCTGACTACACAACACAGGATCTCTGACTACGCAAGGGGACCCAGCTCAGGATGCCGTCTTGTCCTGGGTCTAACGTAACTGCCTGAGCATTAAGCTAAACTATCACATATCAGACTTTGTGTGTAAGGCTGACATACCAACAAATATGGCAAGAAAAGCATGGCAGAAAGGAAAAGTAAGAAACACAGAACCACAAAGGCAAGAGGCAAGAACTAGGCACCATGGCTTTGCCTTCAATACCAGGACTGTGGAGGCAGAGGCAGAGGTAGATCTCAGATTGCTTTGAGTTCCAGGGCTACACAGAGAGGGCCTACCTCAAAAAAAGAAAAAAGAAAGGAAGGAAGGACTGCAAAGTCAATATGCCATTTATAGCCCAACTCAGACTCAGCTAACCTCACCATGCACTTCACACACAGCCTTTATTTCAGAACTGTCAATAATTCCAGGAGTATTTATTTTCAAAATCAGTCTGCATGCACTGTGCGTTAAAGGCACTACAAGTCTAGGCAAAATAAATTTCCTTTCTCCTCCCAACTGCAAGAATCTTGGTCAAACTTGCATTTTTCTAGGCTTTGTTCTTTTGACCCTCCCCAGGTTGCAAATGCAATTCCGCAGGTGGGAAATTTACCCAAATCTTTGTGGTCAAAATCCTCCCGTGCTGCTCTAAGGACACACCTGTCCTCCTGAGGATGCCTGAGTCCCTTTCTTCTCTGTCTCCCTCCCAGGAAGTAGATAGGAAGATCAATGAGTTAATGTTTGTCAAATACTTGAGGGTTCTTGGATAAAAGGCAACATCAAAATTCAAGCCACCTGTGGCGGGCCTTATACTGGCGTAAGCTGACTCTGTGCTGAGGCTTCAAAGAAGGAAATCAAGGCTGCTGAGGACCGCCTTTGTGAGCAGCTAGCTTCCGCACCCTTCTAAAGCCAGGCAGCAATCCCAGTGTCCTTTAATTAACCGGATCTCAGCGTTAGAAATGCAAAGACCCCGCACAACACACTAGGCCCTTGTCTCGGAGAAGAGCAGACTGTCGGAAGGGAGGCTTGTCCCTGCCTTCTTCCTGACCAGCTTTCCTGCCGCCTGGGGGCCTGGAGACCGCCTTCAGTGTGGCGGTCGCATGCAGCTGCCAGCCGACATGTCTGCTGTGAGCCAATAGTCTAAGAGAAAGCCGAGGACAAAGCTGTATGTGTATGTTGGCACACATGTGAGTTCAGGCTGTTGAACAAAGAATACATTCATGGCCACATACGAGGCCGCCCTGCCGGGCCAAACATTCTACAGTGTCACACTCAAGTCTCAGAGATGCCCTGGCAAGCCGCATCTTCCTGGCCGCAGCTTGCAGACTGAGTACAGACAGTCAGAAAGCCCAGCATCCCACCTCTAAAAAGCAGCAGAGCTGCGCTGGAGAGATGGCGCGGAGGATATGGTTGGTGCTTGCCACCAACCTCCACAATCTGAGGGACTTCCAAGTGCAACTGTTGACTTCCACAAGCATGCCCGCACACACACACACACAGTAAATAAATGTAAAATAAATCGTAAGTGGCAGAACTGGAACTCCAGTCTAGCTGTATTTCATACTCCCAAACACACACACACACACACACACACACACACACACACACACACACAGTTGCAGCTAGTGGCCCCGCCCACTCCTGGGACCATTCAATCAACCCTCCTAGGAGGAGGGCAAATTAAATCCATTTAATCAGTCTGGGAGATCAAAAAGCTCATTTCAGACGCTAACTTCCTCCCTGCTGCAGTGTTGGTGTCTGTTTTCCTCCTCCCTTAATTGGTTAATTAAGTATTTCATCTTATCTCTTCTCCTGCCTTACCTCCAACCAAGTGCTAGCAATGTTCTGAGGCCCAGAATGGATCTGAAAACCACACAGCCCTGGGAAACCAAGCAATGAAGAGTTCAAATGCAAGAATGCGACCAAATTCTCCTTCAGAAGAGAGCAAGCCTCTGGAACCCAGGTGAGCTCAATTTGCTAGGGAGAGGTCAATATTCGCATCCCCGTGGAGACTTAAGCCAGTCAGAAAGCATGTGCCGGAGACCCCACAGGGCTGGGCCTCACCCGTGGGACAGGACAGCTCTGCTGAAAACTTCTCTCAACTCCTTGTGGTGTGCCGATGTCAAAATAGTCCAACTGGCCGTGCAACACAACACACACACTGGAATAACCGCAGCGCTATGAGTATGGACACACCAACACGGGGAACCTGGACGGGGTCCTGGGAGCGGCAGGAAAGGGCCTCTTGGTTCACTCTGCCCTCACGCGGGTCCCACACTCACACTTTCCAGACCTTTCACCGTGGAAGTGCTTGACCTGCAGTCTGGGACTGGGAGAGAGCCTTGAATAAACACTCAAGCTGCAGGACGCACTCCTATGCGGCAGTCTGAGGCCCAACGCATGGGCATCTGGCACGTTGGCCAGGAGCAGCCAGTAGGCATATGCCTGAGAGCACTTCAGCCCGGTGAAGAGGCCACTGAGCGCAGCCTCCCCTGCACTGAGGAGCTTTTTCAGGCAGGATGGGCCGAACCCTGGGTTTCAAGGATGTAAGCTTTCAATTTCCACAGGTTCAGGGAAAGGAAAGGAAACCTCAAGATGCTGCTTAAAAAAAAAAAAGAAAAGAAAAGAAAAGAAAAGAAAAGAAAACAATGACTTTTAAAAGCAGTGATTCTAAGACACAGAGCTACATCTTTGAGAGGATTGTGCACATGGCAGCCACGCGCTCAGACTGAGACATCATCTGGGTCCAGCTCAAGAAACCTGTTCAGGAACTGGCAGGGGAAGAGCACTTGCCGGGTGAGCAGAAGACCCGGCCCCAGCAGCAAAGCAAGCCTCGGCTAAGACCCAAGCTGTTCTCCCCTTCAAAAGACAAGGCTCTGTAGTGGTGTGCAGTGGTCCTCACTGGGACACAGTGGGCCACGCAACTTTAACGAAAGCACGGATGGGCCGATTATCGACAATTAAACACCTGTCACCCCCAGAGAACCCCGAGGGAGAGACAGCAGGATAGGGAATACGTCCAAAGGGAAAGCTTTTGATCACTGGAAGCTGCTCGTGGTCACGGGAAGTGGGTAGGAGACTTCCGGTTTCGTTTCCGCTGGGGTGGGGGCTAACCATGCCAGCAACAGCGCACCAACTTGCCGACACACGCCCCTCCGGCCACCAGGTCGCTCTCCGAGACGTTCCGCACGGCCCTCTCCGCGTCCCTCAGTCTGCCCAAGCTGTTCCCTCCTCTGGAATGCTGTCCCTCAACCACTCCTCGATGGAGCATCATTCCCTGCACGCAGGTAACCCTCTCCTCCAGGGCCTTCCCCGACTCTCACGGAACCCCTCTCCCGCAGCAGGTCCCCATCCGCCCACAGATGGCCTGCAGGAAGCTGCGGAATATCGCAGTGCGATCTCCTAGCAGAGTGGAAGCCTCAACACTGAGTCTGTTGAATGAATGAGAGAGGGAATCCATTTCAAGAAATTAATGTATTTTGAAAACTCCGACCGTGCATTCACTCAGAGGTCTGAAGGCAACTCGCCTGCTGCAGGGCCCCGGAACAGGCGATCCGTGATCAGACTAAGCTCAAAACCCCACAGTCTCTTCAAAGAAGAGAGAGGACGGCAAAGGAAGGAAGTGACAGCGCACAGCACCCATCCCTCCAGAAACGGTAGGAAACCCACTCCCAAAGGTTCAAAACTAGACGTGAGGTCAACGTGGGAAAGGGGCTGGTAGCTATCAGAACCTGCAAAGTTCGAGGTGGAGATGTGGTGGGAGATGAAGCCACAAGTTTTCCCTGCGCTGCTGCCCGACCACCCGAGCGGGAGCCAAGACGCTAAGTTTGGTCTGGAACTTCCAACTCACGGCTGGAACGTGGGGAGGGCACAAGGACCCCGGCACAAGCCCAGTGCCCACCGAGGCGCGGAAGGCAGCTCACGGCGCGGCGTTGCGTCCCCTGGCTCGCAAGCACGACAGCAGCGCCTACTGCCCCGGCGGTCTGGACACCTCCAGTCGCCCTCCGCCCTTCCCCGGACTCTCTCCCTCCCCGCACGCCGAAGACAAGCGGGGGCTGCAGGCGTTGTCTCGGCTAACGCGCAAAGCCCCAGACCGCGCTGCCCTTCCAGCCCAACCCGGGACGAGCGAGCGCCGCACGCGAAGGGCAGCCCGGCGGCCGGCCACCTGGCGCCCCCGCCGCGCACCCCGGCGTCCCGGGCGGCGAAGCCAAGTTGGCGCTGCTCGAGCGTCTGCTCCCACCCGGCTGGCTTACCTGCTTATATGGCCCGGGAGTGCCCAGGGTGCCGCACGTTGACCATCGGGGAGTCTGGGTCCCCACCGCTGGCTTCCAGGCGCTGGCAGAGGAGGGGTGCGGGGAGGGTTCCGCCGCGCCGAGCGCACCGGGGAGGAGAAAGGGCCAAGAACCTGGGCACCACCGTCCCGCGCGAGGGGACCGGGGCGATCAGAGAGGTGGGGCGCAGAGAGGGACCGCCAGCGGCCACTTGGCACCAGATGCTCTTCGAGGACCTGCCCTGGATTCGAGACGGACGAGCCGAGGAGCGCAGCTAGCTGGCCCGGCCCTGCGGCCACCGCGCTGGGCAGCGGCGAGAAGTTGTGCAGAACTTGAGCCGCCGGGAGAGCCCGAGCCCCAGGAAGCGCGAGCGGCCGGGAGGGCGGAGGAAGGAGCCGGGTGGGAGGGGACGAGCAGGCGCCGCTGGCCGCGCTCCCCCGCCCGGGGCTCGGCTCCGCTGCGCTTGGGGCCAGGAGGCGGAGAGTGCGCGGGGCGCTCGCTGGGCGGGCCAGGAATGCGTCCGGGGAGGGCGCGCGCCGGCCTCGGGGACGCGCGCCCAGGGCTGAAGAGTGGAGGCCGGGCTCCCCCGCTGCGGGCGCACGGTCCCCGGGGACGTCACAGCGCTGGAATCCGAGGAATGCCAGGCTGCGGGAGCTCCGTCGGCAGGCCGGGCAGAAGTCGTGCACTTTTAATGGGCTAGCTCTGGAGCGTGTCTTCCTTCCAAGGTTGGGGGGGGGGAGGCTGTAGACGGAAGGAAAGTGCCTGGAGTGGGACTGGAAGTGAAGAGGGGGAGGCGACCCAAGTCAGCCCAGCAGTGAGACGCTTAGGGGGCGGAGGGGAAAGCGGAAAGAAAAGAACCGTCCCTCCTAGATTTCCGTAGGCAGCTAGGGGGTGGGACGCTGGAGCTAAAACAGAACATTTATTTGGGGGAGGTTTCCAAGCAGGCTGCCCCCATGCCGCCACCGCCCAGGGGACAAAGTAGGGTGGCCTCCTTGAGCAGGCCATCTAGAAGCTCTCCTCAGAATCCCAGGATCTCTGAGTAATGAGTCTTAGCTCCGGTCCTGCCACCCCGCCCCCACGGGCAACCAGCCTTTGTGTGCTGGGAGTTGGAATATGTGGTTTTCCCGGTTTGTTCCATGCCACGGAGGGCCCCACCCCGCCTGGGTAGGCACTGAGAGGGAAGTGCCTTAGCACTTTCGGAGGTGGGGTTACTGAGGCGCAGCCGGTATAATGGAAAAAGCACTCAGCCAGGCAAGGGAACCTGTGTTAGGCCCCGCTGAGTCGCTGGCCCAGGGCTTAACTCAGGAGGATCCCAGCCCCCCACCCCTCATCCGTGGTGGTTTTGGTAATTGTGAAATGAACGGGGTTGCCTGTATTTTTAAGGTATTTCGCATGCCTTGCCATTTGTTCTCTTTCTGAGGTCTCAAGCCCAGTCCTTCCAAGGACCCTGAAGTCCTTGTCACCAAGACAGTGTCAAATTACTTTATTGTAGAGGCAAGGGATACAAAACTTTCCGGCCTTATCCCATCATAATGGCCCATGCCAGCACCCTGGAGGCAGAGACTGGAAACTCAAAAGTTTGAGGCTAACCTAGGCTACATAGCAAGATGCTACCCAAAACAAGAAAGAAGGGTATTAAGCCTCTTGTGCCCACGGAGTGAATCTATAACGGCTGGCTTCTGGCCATTTGCCTGTCTGCAGGACCCAGAGGGGACAAAATGGGATGGATGGATGGAAGGCAGAGGAGGGGCAGTTTCTCAGAATGTCAAGGAGAACACTATCGGGTTTGGTGAGTTTGCAGCCAGCCTTCAGGAAGGGCTTTACTTTGTGGTTGGGGGGGGGGGGGGGTGGACATTCCACACAGCCTTGGTTTGCCATCACCATCCCCCTAGAGAAGGTGCAGGAAGCAGGAAGGAAGGACCTGATCACCAAGGAACACACCGCTGAAACGGGATAAAGGACCCCATCTGCACAGTAGCTGTTCTCAGCCTCAGACATTTGACCCAAACAGGACTAGGCTCAAAGATCAAGTGATGCCTGAAGGCTGTGAGGCCGCTGGCTCTTCCTCTCTGGGAGACAGGAGGCCTACATCACAGTGGAAAATAAGTGGCGCATGGATGTTGTGGCTCTGGTCTCAGAGCACTGAGCACAGCCCCCCAGGCCACTGTGGTCTAGAAGAAAGAGCAGAGGGATCTCGAGCAGATGCAGAAACTGGGTTCTGCCCAAGAGCAGCCATGTGACCGTGAGCAAGCCACTTAACGGAGGTTTGAGTTGATTTTGTCGGTGGAGTGTGACAACAAGGACAGAGTTTGGTTGGATTCGCTGAGCCCTGGGCTGCTGCCCTGTCTGAGCATGCTTGAGAGTCTCCTCCCCCAGACACAGGCATGTTTGCGGAGGAAGCCAGGTGATCCCAGGGCTGCAAGGCTGCCTGCAGCCCAGCGTGGATGCTGGCAGTCCAGTGAATGAATGCCGCTGCATCTGCGGCTATGAGCAAAGCCGAGGCTTAGCACCAGCCTCTGCACTCGTTTTTAATTTTTTAGATCAATTTATTCATAAAGGCAAAAGTAATTATAAATTTTAAGAACCTACGAAGTGTACTGATTGGCTTTGCTCTGGGTCATAGGAAGATGACACTGAAGAATTACTTCAGTTTTATACACACACGTAGATGCGCGCACACACACACACACAGAGACTTTTAATGACTTGAGAGCTGCACTTTGGTTCTCATCTATGCTAGACTTATGCTGAACCCCCGAGATAGAACTCTTTGTAAGAAGAAAACAAAAACACAACCTGGACCTGCGGGTGTCCTTCAGCATACAGTGCCTGCGTGCTCAGTACCGGAAGAGGTTCGGGAAATCTGGCACGTTGCCTCTAATCCCAGCACTCAGGAAGCTGAGTCAGGAAACCCTCCATGAGGCTGATGCCCGTGAGTTCAAAGCCAACCTGGCTATGCAGACCCTGTCTCAAAGAAGCAGAAACAACAAAGGCGGAGTGTTTGGTGCATGAGCATGAGAGCCTGGGGTGAAGGTCCTAGCCCTCTGCTTTCCCTGGTGCCTGTAACCCAGCGCTGCTGGGAGCAGGAGCATGACTGGGACTCCAGGCCGGCTGCCAGCCTAGCCAAAAAACCTCTCCTGCATTCCATGAACTGCAGTCAGGGAGAGACCCTGCCTCAAAGGAAGACGGTAGACAAGGATGCCCAATGCCTACCACACACACACACACACACACACACACACACACATCCCACCACACACACCATACCATACCATACTCACACATACATGTGAAAAATACAGCTTGAGGTACTTAAATGGAAACCTAAAGCCTGCCTCCTCTCAGTCTGTCCATCCATCCATCCATCCACCTATCTTTCCTTTTCTCTAACAGGAAACCAAATACTCTACCACCCCACTGTGTCTGTGTCTCTGCATGTAAGCAAACACCCTATTAGGTAAGTCTGCACTCTGCAGTCATATCAGGGTGCCTGGGGTTGACAGGACTTAAAGAGACAGGCTCTTACAGAGTCTCATGTTTACTTTAAAGCTTTACAGTTTTAGGAACGTACAGATATTAAATTGTTCAGAGTAACACATCTCCCTGTTCTAAGCTTGACTCTAACTATAAACACAGGGTGCCGTGCAGAATCCCAGGGCTCTCCGTGGTTCCACCCACCTCCAATATGTTCTTCTTATTAATGTATTACTTCTACACCTCCAAAGATGCTGAAGTTCCTGAATCAAAACAAACAGGCTGGGAGATGGCTCAGCGAGAAGAGCACTTGCCTGGCCTTGCAGAAGAGCTGGGTTTGGTCCCAGCGCCCACGTAAAACACCGGGCATGGTGGCATTCGCCTGCGGCCATACCGCTGGGAAGCCTGAGACAGGAGGGGCCCTGGAGCTTGCTTGGCCAGTTAGGATTGTCAGGTCAGTGAGCTGCGACTCAGTGAGAGACCACCGCAAAAAGTAATGTGGAGAGTGACAGAGGAAGGCACCGGCTGTCAGTCTCTGGCTCCTACATGTGTGTGTACCCCTGTTCACATGCACATACACAAACATGTACACACAGTTTGTTTTTTTTTTTAACTGGAAAGTAAGTTGCTCTTATTTGAAAACATTTAGCTGAGGTCTTGGGGCCATCTTTACATTTTGAAGTTATATGGGAAAGAGGGCTCCGATTGCTAATACCATGCTCCCCTTCTTTGTGCCAGTGGAGATGGGGCATCTGTGAGCACACGTGTTGGTATGCATCATAGTTTACGTGGGATATAACTGAGCTACAGCCCAAATAGTACAAAGCACAAAACAGAATGTATTGCTCAGACACCTCTCCCATGTGACATCTGCCCAGGTCAAGGTAAAGTGTCTACCACTGAGTAGGTAGCACTTCCCAACTAACTCTGCTGTGCTTGGCTCACAGGTGAGAGCCACTGTGTTGGGGTCACTGGCTTACAGTAAAAATAAAAAATAGGTCTAGACTATATTGACACCCACAAAAAGTATTAAACAAGAGATTACTTAAGAATGCTTTCATGGAGCTGGGAGACAGAAATTCAGTAAAATAATTGACTTGCAAGCAAAAGGCCGTGAGTTCAAAACCTAGAATCCATGTTTTTGGGGGTTTTTTTGGGGTTTTTTTTTTTGTTTTTTTTAAAAAGGCTGAGACAGTGGTACACACTTGGAATCCCACCACTGAAGAGGCAGAGACAAGCCTGGAGCTTGCTGGCTGGCCAGCGTAGCCTACTTAGCAAGCTCCACGCTACAGAGACCCTGTCTCAAAATCAAAATGAATGATGCCCGGGGCACACTGTCCAGTGTGTCCTCCAGTCTACATACAAATGACCCCCATCCACACACAGCCAAAGGAATGTCTTAGCAGTGGAGGGTGAGGTCATAGTTACTTGGTCATGTTTGTTGTTGTTGTTTTTCCTGTTACTCTGATAAAACACCCTGACAAAAGCCACACTGGACAGGAGTGGAGGAGGTTAGGGGTAGGTGGTCATTTAGCCTCAGTTTCCGGTCAAGTGCGTCATCACGGGGCTCTTGGCTGTGACTAACACACTGCGGGAGCTGATACGAGGCAGTGGGAAAGGGGTATGTCTTTGCTGTGCACCCTCCTTTCTCTACTGACACAGTGCTGGTTCCCAGGCAGGGAGTGATGCTGCCACAGCAGGCCGGTATCCTCACCCCAACTAACCCAATCTGGAGAGCACTCCCACAGGGAGGCCCAGAGGCCCTTCTCTCAGGGGATTCTACAGCCTGTCAGGTCGATGTCGTCACAGGTGCACTGAGAGCAAATCCAAGTTAGGAAACACCCTGGAACATGAACTTGTGGTTGTCTGGTGA